ATGTGCCCAAACGGGTTCATAACCCTAGGGCTTTGAGCTTAAATGATAGGGGTCATGTCCCTAAACCTTTTGGTACCAATAATATTTGGGTACCAAAAAAAATTTGATTTTAAACCAAGAATTTTAGTGTTTTTTTATTTTTCTTTTTTCTTGGTTTTGAAAAATTATACTTTAAACTTTTGAACATGAAAACAATTCTTTTTATTTGATCAAATCTTTTGTTTTCATGATTATTAGTTTTGTTTTGATGAGAGGTTTGTGTTTATATAACCCTCCGGGTTTATTGGGTGTTTATTCCCAAATCTTGTTTACCGGGTGCTTAAATGTTTATATGGGTTGTTACTAGCTCAAGAGCTAGATATGGTTGCCTCTCTTGATTTTTGAAAATCAATAATGGTTTGGTTTTATACTCTTAAATTTTTTTAAATCCATAGTTCATGATTCTTGTATGTTACTTTTGAACTATGAAAATTTTACTTTGATTTGTTCTTTTGAATTCATTATATAAGCACAAATAGATGATTCAAATTTTAAATATGCTTTATAATGTACTCTATGAGTGGTTTGATCAAGTCCTACAAAGAAAGTTTTCTTTATTGATTAAACATTGTTTTTGGATTTTACTTTGATTTATGATCTTATTTGGTTGATTTGAAAACTTTTTGCGTGATTCTCATGTTCTATCTTTTGATTTCATAAATCTATTTTTATACACTATATTTTTAAAATTGTGTAATGAGACACTTCTTTCATATTAACATATTTATATGTGTTCTCATTATATTTTTTTGTATGTGAGTTATGTTTAGCATGTTTTTAATCTATGCTTTCTCACATATGTATGCCTTAGCATTCATTTCATACATTCATGAGGTATTTTGATAGGGGGAGCAATCCCTATATTTTTTTACTCACCCATTCATATTGATAGGGGGAGCTTTCGTTCTCTTCATTCTTTTGGTGTTGTCCTCTTTTTGATGTTGTCAAAGAGGGAGAAATATTATGAGTATATTCTTTCTTGTTTATATGCATAATATATTATACTTTGTATATTTATTTCCTTTCATACATATATCCTTTTTGTAAATTGTTTGTCATCATCAAAAAGGGGGAGATTGTTGGCCTTCTTGTTTTGATGATGATTTACAAACAATTTACATCTAATATTATTTGTCTAGTGTTTGTGTTTTATATTTATTCTAGGCAAACAATATGTTGGATGATGGATGGAATTGCGCTTCAACGATCATATCTAATGGAATAGTGGTTGAAGCCTTGCTATTCAAAGTTGAAGATCCAAGTTTAAGCTTCATCCAAGTTTACCAAGTTAAGCTACAATGAAGATCAAGATCAATCTTGGGTAACATTAGTTTAGATTTATATTATGTGTGTTAGTACTTTAAGCTCAATCATATATACACACACATTTTATTGGTTTCTATATATCTATCTATATATATCTATCTATATATATATATATATATATATATATATATATATATATATATATATATATTTTATATTCATACAAGTTTGTTTTTACGTGGATAAATTGGTTTGGTTTAATTTCATAGATATGAAACAAATATATATTCATATACATACTCATATGTTTCATATTCTATTGTTTTTGTGAAAATATTATATTCTCAGGTTTTGAACTTAACAATAATTATATACATCTTTTATTAAGTCTATAAAATCATTTTGTATTGTTTCAAAACATGGTTAAGCTAAAATGTTAAAACTCATGTGTTTATATTTTCATGTTTTGGACTATTTTGTAAAATGATGATATTTCTCATTTGGGAGGTCCTTTTTAAAAACCAATTCTTGTAGCATGTGTATTATCATGTCTACAATCATTTCCCAAAGTTTTATATTTTTTAGAATTTATTTGATATTTTTTGTAGGCATCAAAAATTGTCTATAGGTCCCCGTACACGGCTCGAGACAGAGAGAAGATGATGAATATCACTATCCGAGTCACAGGAGATCATTTGACGATGATAAACACTTGAAGTGAGTCGACGGACCATGCGAAACAATGCAACTTCGGAGTGACGGAAACACGAGCTGATCGGGAACCCCGTATCGCTTGCAAAAGGGCGGAGAGCCTCTCGTGTCTTGTCCACTTCACATATGATTCAATTATGGGAGCTTGTAGATCTTCTCGACGTCTTTCCAACACATATTGAATCGCATGATTCCGAGTTCGGACGACGAAGATACGGCGAAAACGGACAAATGTTCAAAACAGAACGTCTCAGACTGAGTTGAGACACCCCGAAGTGTCTCGGCACAAACGAGACACCCCAAGGTGTCTCGGCCAAGGCCGAGACACCTTTGGCTGTCTCGGCCTCGCTGAGACACCCTGGGGTGTCTCCAGGCCCAAAAACGGGTTGTCAGGACGAGACACCCAGATGTGTCTCGGCCTCGCCGAGACACCCAGAGGTGTCTCCAGCCCCTAAAAATACCCGTTATGCGGTTTTAACCGCCCGGATCTCCTTAAAGCCTATAAATACAGCCCCTGGAGCTTCTTTTTTTAGAGATCTGGAATTTTGGAGAATTGGCGAGGCCCTGTCGGATTGAAGATTGATCGAGTTCTTCAACGCAAGAGAGAGAGATTCTTCAGATCTGCATCACCCGCATCCGTTCCTTAGGATTATCCCGTTGCGATAATCCTGAGAAGAGCAATTATCTCGCCGTTGCCGAGATAAGCGCTTCTGCTTCTAGATTCCTTCGCGGATCGACGGAGTTCTAGATCTGATCTGATTGTCAGGTAGTCCACGGATATCGACGTCCCCGTCACCGACTAAAGACCCACGCAAGCAAGAAACGACGAACAGATCTTGCGTTATTTTCGAGAGAGTTGTAACCTTTTATTTGTTTCTTTTTATTGAATATTTTGAATTCTTTGTAAGCAATCAGTATTATAATGAATTCGGCAATGAAAGCAACTTTCAGCGAAAACGTTTTTAAACAGGGTTTTAAAGTCAGCAAAATAGTTTTACAAAACTTGTTTCTCTTTAGTGTCAGTTTGCGATCGACCGCCACGGTCGACCGCCTTGAGTCCAGAGACTCAATATATGTTTTGATGGGTCGCGATCGACCGTGGTGGTCAACCGTATGCAGTCCAGAGACTTTCGCGGTCGACCGCCATGGTCGACCGTCGGTTTTTCCAGCGCCCAGTTTTGCCTTTTTGCTGCTCGCGGTTGATCGCGAGATTTCCACGGTCGACAGCCGCACTGTCTTTTCATGTTCCAACGACTAGTTTCCAGAGCCGTTTTTGAGCTAGTTTTTTTGTCTTTTCTTGGCTTTCTCTTAGCTTTGGGGTTTCATATAAATACCCTCTTATACCTCAGTTTTCAGTAGCAATCCAAGAAGTTTTTAAACAAGAGTTTAACAAGGGTTTAAGTTTGTTTAGTGTTTGTTTAAAAGAGATTTGTTTGTGAAGAAGTTTTACACAAGTGGAGGAGATCATCTACATTCCTTGGGCTTCATGTTAATCCATCTCTCCATCTTGTTTTCAGAGAAGAATTTCTAAACTCAATACTAGCTTTGTATTAATTCTTTGTTGTTTATCATTTTCATTAAGCTAGTATTTTCAATTGAGTTTAGTTGATTTAATTTCACTCATTGTTTACACACACCCACTTGAGCTTATTGTATTTGCATACATTGTATATTTGGGTTGGTGAGAGTTGTAACAATTGAGTGTGAGCTTTTATTGTGTTCTCATCCATATTAGAGAACAATCATTTATTGTATTTGTGCTTATTGTGAGATTCACTTTGTAACACACTTGTACACCGAGAGAAGTGTGTGGTGTAAGTCGGGGATCTTCCCAAGAGGAGTGGTGTCGGTTAACGAACCTAGGGAGAGGTTGTATCCGAGCACTTGAGGAAGACACGTCTAGGTCCAATACTTGAGAGGGTGTAGAGTAGGATTATAAGAGTGGAGATTGTAAAGTTTTCGGTTAGCTAGAAAACCGAGTGTGAGGTGTAAACATTGTTTGGGTAAACGTAAAAAACCTGGTTGTGATAGTGGATTTCTCCCCGGGAGTGAGGAGCTGAGACGTAGGACGGAAGGTCCGAACTCCGTGATCATATTGTGTGTTTGCATTATTTATTTGCACACTATCACTCTTATCTTGTTTATTTCACCCTTGTGTTAGTTTATATATCCTTGCATATATTTCATCATATACCTCTTTGCTAGGATATATCTCTTTGTTCATATTGCATATTCTTGCTCATATCATATTGTATATCTATCTTGCAAGAATAATATTTGAATTAGTTTTTTAATTGGCATAAAATCGGATTAGATTAGCATAAGACCCTAATCACCCCTCTCTAGGGTCTAACACGAGTATCCTCAAGAGCTGCCCCAAGGGGCTATTTATAGGCCTCTAAGGCTAGCTCAAGGGTCACAGATAGTCATAAATATGAATGTTACAAATCATAATGATAATTATGATTGAAACAGCAAATAAATTGATTGTTGTAACTACTTAATTACTGCGTGTAGAAACGTCTAAACGCGAGGGTCACATTTCTATGCAACGCGAGAGTCGCTACCAGCCTCACGCGAACGCGAGGGTCGCATTCCGAGCTGCGAACGCGAGGCTCGCCCGCATGCTGCGAAGTAGCCTGCGAGGCAGCCAACGTGGCAGCCAACGTGGTGCTACCTAGCCTAGATGCCTCCGTGCGAAGTGCGCCTTACAAAGCGTCAATTAGCACCTCAGCCCGATTAGCCCCGACCCCCGGCTCATTAGCCCATAGCCCACGAACCCATAGGCCCACGCCCACGACCCACTTGAATTTATGAAGAATCAATTGAATAAAAATAATTATCGACTTGCTGCTGGCAAGCCTCGAACACAAGACCTTTTGAAACAGCAAAACTTTAACTTTCTACTACGCTACTAAGAATTTCTAAAAAATACTAGTAATTAATAAATACATAGTTTGAAAACTTATTTTTTTGGAAAGCGATTTTGACCAAAAAATCCAACAAATCATTCTTGTAACGAACTTACAACTTCATGATCACATACATAATTGTAGTGTATCAAGAGAAGAGACACCTTCACTGGCTAGTAATCAATAATGTACTATGTGCTAATTATTTCACATTTCACAACTCATTTAAGCACAACAACAGGATAAATCCCAATATCTAATTGCATTTTACACCCTCAAATGGAACAAAGCCGTGATCTAAAGCCGCACGCCAAACTTTCTTGATATCCATCACAATATCTCCACATTCATGTGCATCCCATCCTTCTAATGCATGCACAATTCCAGCTACTCTCCAAGCGCTCATCACTTTCCTCGGCAACCAATTCTGTAATTTGAAAAATAAAACCAATAACTTCATACAATTTTTGTTTTAGTTAATTGCACGCAGCTGCTCTTTTGTATTGTCATTTTGAACTTAACATCCCTGTACATTCATGTTCGTAGATCAATCCCTTGGTTAAAATTTTTTGACCCTTCTAGCCTGCCTAGGTGAAAGTTTGGCAGATATTGCCCCAAGGGTAAAAGTGTCAAAAAATTTCACCCAATTAGGTATATCTTCCAAAATGAATCTACAGCGTTAATAAATATAGAACAAATATACAGCAGGGGATCTATATGCAATTAGACCCTTTTGCTTTTGAGGAACTTACAAATCAAAGGTTGAGTTTGTAGTTAATTAATGGGTTACCTCACATGTGTGCATGTTTTCATATTCCTTTGGTGTCCTGAGAGATGGCGTACTGTGATAAATGCAATCATTGCGTATAATTTTTGGAGGAAACTGCGAAAATGGAATGAAGTGTACCCCTTTTGCTGCCTTCTTTTGTTCGTGATCCTTCAGCCCATCTCCTACTAACCATACCTGAACAAATTCGTCGACAATACATTCATATTCAGATTTAAATGCTACATGTATAGAGGAATAAACTTCAGAGAGATTACCTGGTTTTCATAATTCTCAGAGAAAACAACATGATCTACAAGCTCTTTCGGTAACTTTAGCTTTAGAATCTCGTACGTATCTCTTCGTGCAACCATTACCTGTAAGAGACCAAATTTTTATGTATTGCCATCGAATATACGTGTATATAAATGAAATGAAATGTTTGTTGTTATTAATTGATATGTACCTCGAGTCCCTTTTGACATATGGATAGAGTTAAGACACAAGCCATCTTAGAGAGTTTTCCAACAAGCAGAACATTTTTGGCGTCTTTGGGGATTCTGTTAACAACTACAGCGGCAGCCAAGCTTGTCCCATCTACGATTTTAATTTGAAGTTTTGGATTGTTTATGTAGTAGAGTCCTCCGCTTGCATTCAATTCATCTGCCTGTAGTTACTTATTTGCAAAAACATGAGCTAAATATATCACAACATTTCAGGATGCATATCGTGATATATGTTAATGGAAATAATAAAAAAGATAACAGGGTGATTCTTTTTGGGGGTCTGATGGATATGCTCATCTTCTTTGGTGACATTCTTAGCATGTGACACCTTCAAAGCGTTTTAGTTGAATAGAAGAAGTAATGTGGAATTAAAATAGTTAGGAGGATTATCAGATATAACTTATTCAAATATAACTAATAGTCAGAATCAAATATAACTGGCAAATTAAATCTATCTTGCAATCTGATGTCACCCGTGTACTTTATCACATAAAAACATCAAGTAAAGAAATTAGTCCAAAAATGTGCTGTAAATACCGAAATGTGTCGCGCTTACTTGATTCAAGAGACCTAGACTAATGACTTTGGCTCCTCTCTCATCAGCCTCTAAAATTGCCTTCTCAATCAACTCATTGATTTCCTCTCTCTGAGAAGATGTCATATACTGCCCATAAATCAGAGGCAAAAATGTCAAAATTAGGTAATTACAATAATCATACCATAAAATTCAAATGAACTAAGAATTCCAATGTCTCACTTGAAAGCTATATCTTGGAATTGCCCAAGTCTCCATATTAAGCTTCTTCATCCCATTCCTTTCCACAGTGAAAGTAGCTCCATAAATCCAGGTCAGGATCATCGACATCCATGTCACCGGTGAAAAAATCCACATGTACCACTTGGATTCATATGGCTTTGATGAGAACGAAGCAAACCCTAATCTTAGATGATATATTGATTGCAATGTAGTAAGATGTGTCAAATGAATGACACTAGGTGCTTCTTCCTCCTTTCCCTTGAAACAACTTTCATAGAGTGTATCCGAAGATTTATCCACGGTACCATATATGTAGTCATAAAATGGCATGAATAAGGAGTAATTCGACCGAAATTGTGTGTGGTGGAGGGAATGAAACCTATATAAGGCATAATTTTAACAAAATAACATCAAAATTTTCACAAAAACCTGTCTCAACTTTTAAAATCATACTAGAGCATCCTGAAATACTGAAAAATCTCATCAACAACGCTAATGTGTAAACATGAACGCATTTCATTCAAACTCTCCACGACAAATTACTTCGTTTTGCGGCAATTCAATCTTATTGCTTATTTTTCAGTAGTTCAGAAGGGTTTTAACTATAAATTTGAAACGTCAGGGAGATTTTGTGAAATTTACAATTATATCAAGTTAATGGGGACTTACGACGGGGTGTACATGAGGTATTTGAGAGGAAGGAAGACATCAAAGAGCCATTTTGGTACAAGCTCAAAGTTGCAATGGCCTAAGTAGTTCATGAAATCAATATATATCAAATACCCAGCTGCAGCTATGATTGATGCAGTTCCAGTGAGAGCCATTGATAACAGAGGGATTGCAAAAAGAGTGAAGTAAGCAACTTCTTCAGCAAAAGGATGGATCACGGCTGCAAATAGTGAGGCATTAGTTAATCATGTATGTATTTAAATACATGAACGTATACTTATCTTAAAAGTTAACTATCAACATTGAGATCATTTGGTAACAATAAAACAATTTGATTTTGTGAATGATTAGTGATTAATTAATGAGCCTAATTTGCGGTTGTTGACGCACGTATCTTAAGATATATTTGTGATTCTCTTGCAGATTAGCCAAATACAGGCTACTTTGTGTCGGAAAATTGTTAATTGTTACCACATCCCTATCTACCAAATAAACTAAATGGGCAGGTGGAGTTTAGTCAGCATTAAATGAATTTTGTTGTTTAATGTTCAAATAGGAGGAAACATGCATGCAGAAAAAATTTGAACACAGTAACTTCAAAATAACTTATTGGATTGGAAAAACAAACTCATTTATTACTTTCACCTAGCCTAAAGGAATCGCATTTAGTAGCTTATTTATTGAGCCTTGTATCGTCTATGGATCTCATGATAAAACAAAACCTCTCCCAAAAAGTGAAGGAATCCTCATTCAGCTATCAAAAAAAAAAGTAGCATTTAGGAAATAGGACCCTATCCTAAAGCATTGACTAGTATATATATAGAAACAGACTACAGGCATACATATGATGTGACTCCACTTGTGGCTTAGCAAGTACAAAAGCCATGTCTCTTTGTGTCATAATAAATCTCTTTCAGATCCATCCTTTTTTGCATAAAAATATGAAAAAATACAAAATTTTACTTTCTTTTCCAAAATCACAGAACTTAGTCTTCATAAAAGCAATATACAAATTTTGCATTCTCTTTTCAAAACAAAAAAAAAAACTTCATAAAAATAACTTTTGAAATCTCCAAACTATCTCTCTACATCTAATGATTCATAACACTGTACTCACATGTTGCTGTTTTGATTTTTTAAAAATTTGTGAGTGTGTGTGTAGAGAGAGAGAGAGAGAGAGAGAGAGACTCATTACATGTTATGGGCTCAGTGACAATGGAAGCATGATGGTGAGAGTGGTATCTGGAGTAGAGGAAGTGGTGGTGGAGAGCTCTATGAAGCCAATAGTAGATGAACTCCACAGGACCCATATGAACCACTGCAGTGAGAATGACTCCCTTAGTATTCCACCATGGCAAGTAAGCAGCCCCTGGAATCACCTCATTCCCCACAAAGAACAACAAAGCTGTCAAAATTATCTGATCATCCCTGCACCCAACATCCATTATCTTTTAGTCTAACCTCTAAAAATAAGCCAAAACAAAGGTCTCTCTTGATAGTTGGTTAATCAAAGCGACTGTATGTCATTGATCAGTACAAATCATGAGGATTTCTAGAGCATAGTACGGCGATATAAAAGGAGTAACATAGTTATAGTACAAATTTTATTCCATTATAAGTCATAGTACAGTAGGCCTCCACAATTTTTTTGTCACCTGTGGTGCAAAATTACTATGAAATTTGTATAGTCTACTTAGCATTATTCGACCAAGAATACTTCAGCATTACTGTACTAAGAATACTCTTTTTTCTTAGTACACTAACCGTCCCGTGAACACAAAACATGCTACTGGTTAACAATGTCAAATATGGAGAAAATAAACTTGATGTACCAGTTCCTCTCTCTGTCAACTTGATCAAAGTCAAGGCTCTTGTTCACAATCTTGTGCTTGGTTCTTGCAGTGTGGAATCTGGAGATGGTGATCCAAAGCTGAGAGTAGAGCAATCTTATCAGTAGAGTAGGGAGTATTGTAAGGTTCAAAAAATCTATCTCCTCTCCTTCATTCTTAGCTCTTATGGCCTTGTGCATGCTCCTTGCCACCCAAGGAACTAGCAAAGCATACTAAAACGTAGCCAAAAAAAATGTAAGTAAAGAAATTATTGCAAAAAAATAAAATAAAAATGGTGATATATATACCTTGAAGTTGCCAAGTTTTTGCCATGGCCATTGAGTAAGAGGGCCTGGTTTTGAAGCCATTTTTTTTGTTGTTGTTGTTGCAATGGCTTTGGTCTTGTATGACTATATCATCAACCTTGAGCACATTTATATACGAGTAATTGGGGGTGTCACATGACAAGGATACTGTTAATATTTTACTGACATAAGTGCGCAGTAAAAGATAATAAATGCTTTTCTTACATGTACATCCTCATCAATATATTTACCATGTGTTTTCATTATAATCCAAGAGGCCCCACTTCAAACATTGTTTGATTATGCAGACAAATCCGTACACCATGACATTGTGCGGATAAGATAAATGGAGCGTTACTGCAGCCTTACCAGTTTGCAAGATATTTCAGTTTGCAGATATATAACATTTAAATTTGTTTGGTGATTAATTACAGACTTTACAGTTAACTCATAATTAAATTTAATGAGATCAATGTCTCCATTTGTTTATTCTCCAACAATGGCTTATCTAATGGTTGATTTTTTTCCCCTTTCATTAGTTTGTCTAGTGGTAGGTTGCCAAACACCAAGATTAGCGCATACTTTATTTTATTACAGTAAGTTTGTGCTTTGGTTTTTTCCTTTACATCTTACTTGCGACAATATAAGAAGAGCAGTGCATTTGTTTCGTGCATAAATAATATCCCCCCTCAACTTTCTAGATGATTATTTACTTTGAAAATCAAAGGATATTTCTGACTCTCTTGCCTCAAAATATCTCTCTCTCTTATTTTTGCATAATAACATGCGTAGCATATATTCAAAAGCTAAGAAAGTTCTGATGATGTGAGGTCCTCTTGCGTACGAGCCAGATGCATTAGATAGAAGGCATTGGTGAACCAAACGACAACTTGTGTGCTGACTCTCTTGTAGGCTTGAGATAGTAGCTAAATTAGGGTAGGCTTGAATGAATTTATTTTATTTGTATGTAGTTGATCAAGAACTTGCTGTTTCTTATTATATTATTGGCGACATATGAATTATTACACCAACCAATTACCTATAATAGTAGTCATTAAGTTTGACAAAATCATCAATCTCCAATCAATTAGACCACCACACATAGAAGGCATCACGGATTCTTCCTTCCAAACCAAACTAATGAATCTATTGTTTTAAATAGGATTTGGTTTATTTGTAATCCTAATAAGAGGTATCAGTACTTCATCATATATCCTTATTCAAGAGAATATGGATGTGGATCTGAATCCAACAAAGGAGGAGAACGTTGTGCTTTCCTTCTTTCATAATCATGTTTCTATTGAAACAGGAATAAATTACAAACAAATCTATGAGAAAGGAAACTTTGGAGGGTTAAAGTTGAAGAGGTAAAGGGATAAATATTGGTCACCTTTGCGGATACACCCCCTGTACTATCACCAATTTGCAGTTAGACCCTCATAGTTCTATTGTTGCAAAGAGATCTTGTACATTCTCAACTCTATTAGTTTCATGTTAATTAAGATTTGGCTTCATAAAGTGAAACATGTCAGCCTCATATACTATTTTACTTACTATAAACTTATATATTGATTGAAACTAGATACTTATAAATAAATTAAGGAGGAAGTAGTTCATAATTTATATAAATTATAAATTGTGATTCATGAGATATGATGATTATTATATTTGATTCAAATTGCTTTGACATAAATGGCAAATTGTGATTTAAGAGATGGTATCTTTAATATAAATACACATCTAATTAGTACATCATATGCAATAAGCTAATTCGATTCATGCAAAAGGTGTTTTCCAAATTACAACCCTCACTCGTCCCCCGCTATTTTGTTAGGCTAAATAAGTAAAGAAAAATTCTTTAAGGACCCAAAATATGGGACCAATAGGGGACAAGTGAGGTGTCCCCCTCCTATTGGATAATGAGTTGGCCATCATTAATAATAGGAGGGGGACACCTCACTTGTCCCCTTTATTGGTCCCATATTTTGGGTCCCTGTAGCAAAGCTCATAAGTAAATGGTATATTTTGTTGCCTATGTCTACTTAATTAATATGTATATTATTGCTCCGGTGACAATAATGTATAAAAAGTATTTATGTTATGACAATAAGATGTTTCCGATCATCACGGGTGAGTTTTGAACAATTTAAGTTATGGGTTTTTGCATATATACCCCTCAACTCTTCCATAGTTACAAACTTTCCCAAATCTTAATATTTGCAAATAAATATAAAAATCAA